GGGTCCGAAATGGTGAAAATGTGCGATTTCAATGCATTTTTGGCCTTACAGCGGCCGCCATTTGGCTATCGTTAATGGGATCATGAAACAAATGCACATACATATTTGTGACATGATGTACCTTGTGTGTGTGAAGTTTGAACTCTATCAATCCAGGCATGTCTCAGATACGGATCCAGAACTGAATTCTTTAAAACAAAATGGCCGCCAGCCGGCCACTTTGAACTTGATCCGGAAAAAAAAATGACGTGCATCAAGGTCCTATTATGTTTAATGTATGTACCAAATTTGAACAAAATCCGTCCATGCATAACTGAGATCCGGGTCCGGAATGGTGAAAATGTGCGATTTTGATGCATTTTCGGCCTTAAAATGGCCGCTATTCGGCTATCGTTAATCGGATCATGAAAAAAATGCATGTGCATATGTCCCATATAATGTGTGATGTATGAGTGAAGTTTGAACTTAATCGGTCCATGCATGTTCGAGATACAGGTGGTCATGGACGCACACAGGGCAAAACATAAGTCCCCGTTTTCGGACTACGTTCGAACAAGGACTCATTAAAACCCAGTGAATAATTAACCTTTTTACAGTACTTGTAAAGTTGAATTGATTATTGAACGGTGGTGATTGTAACATGTCCTGTTTGATGTGCGTTCCACAACGAATTTGAAATCCATGGTTTTACATGTACATGCTTCACAACCACCACCATCCTTTAAAGCATTGTTTTTTACATTGCTTGAGTAAAATGTAATATTAGATTTTGATTATGTATTTTTTTTCAGTGTATGAACTTTTATTTGAAGAGAGGGGTGGGCTGATTTAAATTGTACTGTAAATTGTTCGTCAAGCTACAATATTAATTGAAGTAGTGAACATTTGTTTTTCTAGTTATTCGATGCAGACAGGGTAGTATTGAATATTTATGGGAAATAATGGTATACTGTATTTGTCCTATTAGATGCACTTGCAGGACACAAAAGACTTGTATATAAACCAAACTGTCACCTGTTTCATAACCTATTTTCACAGGTTATTTACATTATGTAAGTATGTATGTGCTTTCTAATGGGAGTAAAAATAAGTGCATGGGTTTTTCAATCATTTGACTTAATTTTTATTACCATATGATTTTTGCCTTAAATTATTGTAACAATTAGTTACATGTGAGGAAACATACTGTATTAATAAAATCACTTTAAATCGGTACATCTAAGATCTTGTAATTTATTCTAAATATTTTGGTTATAGAATGACCTATACAGGGCTTTTAGGTCACAAAGTGTGTGCCAATTGGTGTTGAAACCCTGTGCTGTTTAATCAATGGAAACTTTTGTTGATGTTAATTTTAGTCCCACTAATGATACTGCTATTTCTAGCATCAGTATGGATTCTGATATCGTCTGTCTGCATGGTGTTGTCCCGTTCGGACATTGCTCCCTCTACATGCCGGGATATTCACCTTGAAAATTCAAGATGGGATTCTGATAGCAAAATTGACGAATAATCAACTCTACTTTCGCTGCAAACTGAATAGAATGGAGTTCCAGGCAATTCCATGCATTTCCCAAGCCTGTTCCAAGTAACAACGTTAATATCTGTAAAGGATCTCATATCTAGAAATTCTCAATGCAAAGCTACTTAAAAGATTGTTCATGATTGGGCATCCAACCTTAACAGTCAGTCCAATCACAAAGCAGCTTGTTTGTTGATAAATAACAACGAATAAATCAAAATAAACGCGTATTACATGCGTGACTTGAACTGGTGCTCGCGTACGACACTTAATCGCCTAGCTTCATGTCACTACACATCTTCCCTCCTCAGCCACCCCCAAAAGAGGATGCTTAATAACCGAGCTAATAATGTGAAGCTTGGCAATTTGGTGCCGTATGAGACACGCATGCATTACGTGTTTTCTTTGATTTGACGTGGTATTTACCATGCCATTTATTTGGTGTTATTGCTTACTTTACTTTCTATGTCAACGGCAACTATGAGTTTACAATTGTTTGTTGACAGGCTTTTTCTACTTATCAAATTCTGTCATGTATATGTTATATGTTAACTCAAATGCTAATCTATATGTTGATTATATCATATGTAGACAGTCATCTGATTGGTGGAAACTGCCCAGCTATATTAGAAAATTAATCTTTGAAGGTTTCTTCAAAGGACACATTGGCAGAGGTATTGATTGGTTGTATTTCAATTTACAGTTCATACTTTTCTGTGGCCTGCAGTAAAATTCATTTGCAATCATGCACATGTCTTTATATTATATATATATTTCACACAACCAAAAAGTGTTTCACATACTGGTACGAAGTCCTGAGACTGCAATAATTTTTTTTCCGAATAATTGTTAACGTTGACCACTACAGTTTCTCAAGTCCAAATTTACCGGGGTATGTTAAAATATGTTTTGTTGCTAGTCAAAACTTAAAAATTTAGGTATATTGAAATACCTCGTAAACTGTGCTTTCATAATTAGAGATAACGAGACATCCACAATTTTGTTGACTTGTACACTAACAATAAAATATGAGAAAAAACTTCAAAAGTCTTGCCATGTGTATATGCAAGATTTAATAAATGCAATTAATATATACAACCAATCTGGAAATCTCACTGGCATGAAAAGGGTACAATTTTAATATATACCAAATATTAATTAAAACATAAAAAAATTCTCTAATTGTGGTCTGGTACTGTACACAAACTTCCAAGGTTTCTTGGTGAATTCATACATATAAGAGTGGGTTATCCACAACACTCTGATAGAGGGTGGTATTTAAGTTAAGTTATTTCAATACATGTTGTCTTTAGTTATTCTTGTTCCTGAAGAAAAACATCTTCTGCTTGCTGCAGGACTGCCTCAGAATCTCTTAACTCGCACTGCAAAATAAGAAAACATTATTTTTAATGCTATCAACAAGTTGTATATAGCGCCCTCTTGTGACAAGCAGTATGGGTTCTTTCTGTGCTCATGGAGACTGAATTTGGGATGTAGATATTCAGCATCAAGTGCATCTAATTAGAGAATGTAGATTTATTCCACAAAATGCCAAAAAGGGTAAGCCGTGTTCTGAGTCAGTAACAGACTAAAGTCTAAATTGCACAAAAAAAACATACAAATTCCAAGAGGTCAGGCATTTGATCTCTATAAAATACATAAATCCCATATGAGGCACCTCTAAGACGTGCGACCAATCAGAGTTGGCACAGCTGATGGAAATAAAACAAACTGGCAGGATGTCAAATTGTCAAAGAAGGCACACTTTCATACACCTTCGTTGAACACTGAAAAGCACATTAATGGAGCAAAATGTTCAGATCGTCCTGATCCCCAAGCTGTCCTTTATAAAATAAATGTAAAAGCGACCTGATGATTATACTTACTGTTGGGATTGGGTAAACAGTTGGCTCTGGGGCACCCTCTCTGCCAAAATCCATCATGGTGCCACATTTTGGAGTATCCTCCACCCACACTCCTTCAAACATTTGTCCTTTGTCTAGGTAGTAAAATTTACCAGCTCCGTTCTTTTTGTCGTCCTTCCATGAACCTTCGTATCTGTTTTCGTTTGCTGTAAATGTCAAGAAATCTTATTTGATGAGTAAATTATCCATAAGATCATTTCAAATACAGCTATGACCAACCAAACAGAATGGAACAATGTTTTTATTGAAAGCATAGAAATCAGGAATACTGTAAAAGGATTAATTATTCACTGGGTTTTAATTTTGCTTATTTCGCTAACTGGAAAATGTGCTAAATTAAAACCAAGTAAATATGTAAAATTTAGCATAGAACACATTATCTAAATGATAAAACCGTGAATTTAAAACCCACTGAAAAACCCTGAAATGGTAAATCAGCAAAATTTAAACCCAGTGAAAATTAGTCATTTTACAGTAGATCATTTCTATGAGTCATCTTTAGCAATGGAGCAGTTGTATGACTTAAATTTTGATCTGTAAACTCATAGAAAGCAAAGTGAACTGCCTCACGACATGTCATAACACAGGAGGCTTAATAATCTTTATCATGCTAAAATCATGAAACAATCCATGTCAGACAACACGCGGTGGTGCGCTGTGATATGCTCACAGTAATTTAGTGCAATAACCAGGCATAGGTTTGAGTCATGTATGTGTACATGATTACATATTTTCAATTTCTACTTGTTTTGAGCTATAGTCATCTGTTAATAAAAAATACTGTTTTGTAGAGGCTTACTAAATGACAATTACTATACAACTAAACAGAGATGTCTATTTCCATGATATTGCTAACACGCATAATTTTATGCCACAAAAGCAGTTTATTGCCAGAGGGCGCTACAGGTAAATTGTATTCTGCATATGAATACTTCAAGCTCATGCAATATAAAGACAAGTTAAACAACCTTACCAAGCCGAAGCATTCCTTGTCCATTTCTTTTGTCATCGTACCATTCTCCTTCGTATATACTATCATCAGCATAGTACATTCGACCCCAGCCACTTCTCTTATCTGCATAAAATTCACCTTCGAAATATTCTGTATCGTTGTAAAAATGTGTACCATAACCCTGGAAACAGGAATTTATAAAACATAGTTGAACTCTGGTGACCTTGCCCTTTGTTATATAATATAATTCCCTTTATCATAGTTTGTTTCAATATAAATATGCATTGTCATAATTAATTTTGAATACAAACAAGTTTTGGGGTTGAACCAACAGTGGGGAATCAGTCTACCGAATGTCCTTAAAAGATGTAAATATCTTACAAAAACATTGGTGCCTTATTTGTTTAATTATTTTAAGGAACATAATTTCCAGCTTTATTGAAAGTAATTGAGATATTTTAGAATAAAAACAAATGTCTCATTGCAAAAAAAAAGTGCTGCATTTAGATGTGAATAGATTCATAAAACATGCAAGATAACAGAAAAATTTAGCTGGCTTTAGTTCAAGTATTTTGTACAGGTGTCTGTCAAAAATTAATGATTCACTGAGACAAATATGAACTGCCTCATTGCGTGACTACTGTATTATATGAAAAGTAAAAACAAAAACACCCTTTATGAATAGCTAATCTTCAAACACTGCAATCTCTGAAGTGCGTTTTTAAACTAGTATTATAAAAACTCTATCATTCTGTTCTAATAGCTGAAACATATTCCTGTGAGTTTTCATTTGTCGAATGAACTGTTTGTCAAATACAGAATACATATATTTTAGAATAATTTTCTTTTTAAAATGTGGATGAAATGTTTTGCTTTTAATGTATTTTTTATGTATTGTTTTTGATTTGATAACTTTTGACTAAACAGATTTTCTATTAGCTTCAGATCTTGATCAAAGTTTGGCACCCAGTTCATAGGAGTGCTTATATTGATTTTCTGACATCTTGTTTTCTGTAAAGATTTTATTGGTAGGTTTGCAAATGTGTATCAGACTGTGCAATCTCTCCATGAGTTGGTTTTGAAACCCAGTATGGG